ACGGGAGAGAGTGCGTCCACAGTTATCCCTGCGAGCTGCAATGGAATGCCTGGGCATCAAACCCGGGCTTATTTTCTGAACAATTAAACTAGATTTTGTTTTCTCAGTATTTTACTGAAGCTGTCCTTCTGTGTGAGGTGCGTGTCAATGAGTAACCTGTTAGCTCTGCCAAGGGGGGCTCCTGATGGATGCCCTGCTACTGTTCCCCGGGCAAAAGTGACTGTGGTCTGTGAGAAGCAGTTTAAACTGCAAAGTGGGGCTTCAGGTGATCTCCTTTTGGCTCAAGATTAACCATAAACCAAAGTTTAAACTGTGGCATTACATGGCTGATTCAGAATTCTTTTTCAGCCGTAAATTCTATCTCTAAGCTCTGTGTGTGTATTCTGTGGCTTTATCAAACAAACACGCTACACGTTCCCTGCTCGGCATCAGCATTAGGGACTGTACCCTCTGATCACAGAAATACTTATTTCTTTTCATGAGCAATGTGCTTCTTGAAAAGGGAGAAAATTGAGCACTCAGATTCTAATTAGATCCTTTTCCTTTGCGGATTATCATTTGTGCAGTTGGCAAAGGTCGGTAACTGTTTTACGGCAGGCAAACTGAGAGCATCCTTCTCCGGACAAAAGTTCACAGGTTAACAGAGGAGGGAAATGTGGTGATACAAGACGTTGTCAAGAAAGTGTGAATTTCAGACAGTAACTCCAGGTTTCTTTTGCTGGTTGGAGGGGGTGATGGATGCATTTCAGAGACTGCCCTAAGCTGGAGATGCGAGTCTGAAGCCGCAGTAACCTGCAACTGGAAATTTAACATGGATAAGTAGTTTCAGTGTGTTTCAACATCACATGGAAAATAGCGTAACTTTTGTTGTTTGCCACCATAGTTCAACCTGTACGTCTAAAAGCAACATCTAAATCACTATCTTGAAAAAACATGTCCTGGCGTGGTGCATCATTCTGTCCTTTACATCAGGTGAATTAAGGAATGTTAGAGAAAACCCCATTCCTCCTGACTGTATCCACCAAACTGTCCTCATCCACTGTGGCCTGCTTTAGCTCTGCGCAGCAGCAGGGAGCAGCATTGGAGAGGTTTCTCTGGTTCCGGCACCACCTGGGCACTTCACAGACCCAGAGCTCCCCGTTGCAGCACTGGAAATTCCTGGAAGTCTGAGGATCAGTGAGACTCTGCTTGCTGTAGCTGTGACCTAATGGTGCAAATCAGTTAAAGAAGCTCGTGGAAAATATGAGAAGGAGATCGGTCTGCGTGATGTCGGCATTGTAGGATCAGTTAGTGCACTTGCTACAGGCATTGTGTGACAGGAGACCAGGCATAAAAGAAGAGAGGAAAAAAGGAAAGGCGTAGCCCTACAAGCTTTATTTTTGTCTTATCAGAGAACTCTAAATTAATCTCCCCTTCTTTCCTCCTCCACAAAAGAAAAGTATGTATGTAAAAAAAAAATCTGATGGAGTCTTGTTGGCTTCTGTGGTGAAAAGCTGTACAGAATCTCATCCTGTTTCCAGCAGGACAGGGTAGTTAAAACTATTCCTTTAGGTAGCTGATAGCTGTTTGCAGCTGCCTCTGTGAACAGGTGACTTGTTTCGGCACCCAGAGGAAACGGCTGCTGCGTTAAGAAAGAGCAGCACGAGAGTGAATGAAAAATGTTTGCATAGGAATTACATCCTCTTAGGTTTCATAACTCAAGCCTTCTTACATAAATGCCAGAACAGTTGGTTTAGAAGCCAGAACAAGAGAGGGCATATTAGGGCTTCCTGGAGCTCGTGTGTATGTAAGAAATACAGAGTTTCACGTTAGCATCCTCTTCAGTCATAGCTCGCATCTTTCTCCTGCCCTGGCTTACAGCTTAGCTCCCACCCCTTCTATTGTGCTCAGTGTTTTTATCAAGGGCGCCATCTCAATGGCATCTGCAGAGGAAATTATAATTTTAATCTGATGCCTTTTTTAAAATCAGTTGATGGACAAGATCCCGAATGATCAGGGTTTAATGGCACGAGTATGCTGCACGGCGACTTAGTATCAAATCACTTTGTGAAACTACTTTTCTGCTTACCTAATCCATACTGACCAGCACTGTGCTTTCTTCCCGAGCAGGTTTTTGTGGTGATAAGATGGAGCCTTCCCCATTTAATAGAAGACAATGGGCTTCACAGTCTTTGAAAATCACTGCGAAAGAGCTTTCTCTAGTCAACAAGAATAAGTCATCAGCTCTTGTGGAAAGGTTCTCCAAGTAAGTAAGTGCCACGAGGCTGCTGGACACAAGCTGTGCGTGTAGGTGACAGCTGGTACCTTGAACGACTGCTTCACTGACGGTTGATTTGCTTGTTAAAATGATGTAGATCTGTAGGCAAGTTTCTGGTTTAAAATGTGCCAGCCAGAAATTTTTCTAGTTACCGACATTATATTGTTTCAACAACCAGAATTATCTTTTTTTTCCTGCTGTCAGAAACTAAAGCAACAAGTTTTCTGACAAACTGCAAATTGCCATTTGGTTTTGAGGGCAGGATATTGGAATGTAGGCAGCTACTGCCATGAGGGTTTTACTCCATCAGAAATGGTCTTTAACTGCTTAGGCATGAGCCACCGCAGGTTTCCCTGCTAACATGGCATTTCCTGCCTGGTACCATACAAAGTAGCAGTGATGCCTTATCAGTTAATTGGAGAGCAGTCAGAAATGGTAGTGCTGTCGACCAGTGGTGATAGATGTAACCCCTTAGTGAGAGTTCTGTCAGAGAATTTCACAGGAGCTGTGTTCTCCACAGATGTCCCCTCCCAGATATCTCACAAAAGTTGTGTAGAAAAGGAGTATTCCTTTCCCTTTTCTCTGACAGATGGATGACGAGTTGCAGTCAATTCATAAAGGAATATTTTATCCACTGAGAAAGCTGAGTGGTGGTAGCCTACACATGTGTTCTGGAAAAGCTTTTATTTCCTTAAGGAATTACATAGACCACAGCTTGGATTTTCAATGGGATTTGGACAACCAAGTCTCCTAGGTTATTGCATTAATAGCGTATCAAGGTTTCGGAGTATTTAAATCTCGAGTGTGGGAGAAACTTTATGGAGTCTCTAGAGGAAAGATGATCGCAGTCTGGCCTTCACACAAACGCAGCTCTTTAAGTTACTTTTTAAGTGCTCTGTCCTGGGGAGAAGCTCCTTGCTTTGACTGCGCTTGTTAAGGTAATTTATTCATTCATTGAACCTTGATAACAGAACCTGCTCATCTTGCTAAAAGTTGATAATCCTTTGAAAAGGGCTTACTGGAAGTAATCCAAACTGCTATTCCTTAATCAAGCAGAGTCCCTCTACATAAGCAGTGTCAGTTCCTTGGAAAAACACAGTCCTGCTTACTGGCTTTGCCAACACTGACACTCACAGTGAGGAGCATGATTTTCCTATATTGCTGTTACCTAAATTATTTTTATGTGAAAGCATCTTTTTCATTCCATATAGCGGTTGGATTATCGGTTTTGCCAGGTCAGAGACATGAAAATTGCAGCAGCAGAGACTTAAAGAGCGCGCTGCGATGGGCTCGCTTACAGAGCGCCGGCTGCCCGGGACTCCTCCATCCTTGTGTGTCTCCCTGTGTGGCACTTCGTTTTCATCCCCATGCCTCTCTTTATTTCTTCTTCCAGCGTTGATCTCTCTTCCTCCATAAACTTACTTCCTCAGCATGTCTTGTTCAAATTTTGGAGCCTTTATAAAACAGAGACATAGGTTAATGTGCCTGCATTGATTGAAGAGGCTCAGCTACACTCCTTCAGCTGCTTTCAATCTGTACAATACATGCTGCTTGTAGAGTAGAAAATAAGGAAGGTGTGATTTGTCTGCTCTCCAGTGTAACAAGGGGAGAAATCTACACAGGAGCACACTGTTCACAGCAGGGAAAAAAATCAATCGTTGTAAAGAAAAAATGAGTAACAGAGCAGGTATCTGCACGGAAGGGTTTTTTTCTTAGGAGCCTGTGATATACGTTAATTATTGGTTTGATACCAGCAATTATTTAAAGCCCGGTGACTATTAAAATATTAAGGTCTCGTTTACTGCCTGTAACATATCCCCTGTTGTATCAAAAGCAGAATCCCACAGATAAGAACGATGGAAACATCATTTGCCCAGGCAGATGCCGGGTGACATTTTTCCTCTTTGAGAAGCAGAGCTCCACTTACAAATGGCAAAATTTGTCACATCGGACTAATTTGTGCATTTCCAAAGGAAATTGCAATCACCCCGTGCTAATCAGCACAGTCTGCGCGCTCCTGGCTGCAGATGTACTGTGCCCAGTGGAGTGCAGATTGCTGGGAGTTTTCTATAGCTTCTTAAAGGACTTTGATTCATGATCCAGGGTGGCTTATCTTCAGAGGGCTGTGATTACTGTTGCCGCTGCTGGGATGGTTCAGCTGCTCATGAAGCAACTGCTGAGCTGGTGCAGTTTACAACCTAGCGTAGTAAAATAAACTGGCACTTATGTAGATTTTCTGCATATGCCAAGCTGTAATTTGTCACGGGTCAGCAGCTGCTGTATAAATAGCCGAGTTATTCCTGCAAGGGGGCACAGCAGACAGCTGGGTGGCAGACACAATACAGCTATTCCAAGGTAAACTATATTTGAGAATCAGAGTGCTTCCGTAATGAAAAAACATTAATGTATGCTATTGTTGTAAACCGAATAACTTAAAATGTGTCTCATGCTTTGCGTTGTTCTGGTACTTTTTCTACTATTTTTCCAGCCTCTGGTTTTATTTGATAGGTCTGGAAAGTGCACAGAATCCTTAGTGGGGAAAACAAATCTCAGCTTTCTTCAAGAGCATTCAGTATTATGGTTAAAAACTGTGGGGTTTTTTTATTTCTCTCTCCTCTATCTTGAAGGTATCAGAAAGCAGCTGAAGAAGCCACTGCTGAGAAAAAAAGAAGTGTAAGTATTTGCTTCCTAGGTGATAAAGCAACAGCCTGCGATCAGAATGGGTCACCTACCTGCAATGTTTCTGTGACAGCTGATTTTTGGGATATCAAAGTTGTTGCCACGTGTCCTACAGAAAACTGGGCTTAGGCATAGTGTTTGCTTTTGACTCATTGCCTCTACACTTTCCGAATGTGAATGCAAGGAAAGAAAATCAAGTTTCTTGCCCAAAGCTGTATGTTGAATCACCAGTTCTCGCCTAAGCAAAAGGTAAAAGGAGTTAACCACAACAAACGAATATCAACCTTGTTGTTCTTAGCTGTGGCAGTTGTGTGGTGCCTCTTTCTTTCTTAACTAAATGTAAAAGTCTGCTTAAAAGAAGCTGCCAGCCTCTCGGAAATCTATCTTCGATAGCTGTAGCATCCAGTAAGGGGGATCTTCTCTGGAGTTCAAAATCCCCCTGGACGAGGGAGAGCCACCCTTTTTGGTTCTGTTACAGCCTCATATTCCCTCCTGTGAATGGCACCGCACTGTTTAGCTGAAAAGCGAGGCACTGACATGGCAGGGCTTTGTGTCAGCAGATCCTCAGTTTAATTTTATAAAGACCAGCAATGTTTTCAGGCTATATAGGTAAGTCTTTGTTAGACCATGCTGCCTTGATGTCTTTAATGCTGAGGGAGTCATTCTTTTTCTGTTTGGGATACAGGTGTGTTAGAAGAAGCATTCTAAAAATTCCTCTCCAGTCTTCAGTTTTCTTCGCTGCTTGTATGATCAGGGAACAGGCAAGTCCCAGGCAAGAATGGCTTGTGTTGTGAAGTATGCCAGGCATCGTGTCCAGAAACCTGCTGCACAATTTTGAGTACTTCCGTTACATTACAACATTTGCCTTCTAATTTTAGTACTTAGTTTTAAATAGTCAGTAAGCAAGCTGATTTTTTTTTCCTGAAGTCTAGGTAGATTCAAGTTAATTTGTAAAGCAGTGTTCAAAATGTGACCAGAAGAGTAATAGGGTGAGAGACTTAAATCCTAATATAGCTGCTAATCCTGTTTAATTCCTGTAAGCCCCACAGACCTGTTCCACTTGCAATGAGTTTGACACACAGTGGTGTCTGTAAGGGAGAGACAGCAAAAATGCAGTGGTGGCAGGTATTGGATTTGAATGAATCAAACATGGGCTGGTCTGCTACTCTGGGGAGAGGTAACTACTTTCAGCAAAACTAGTCTGAATGTGAGGGGTGCTGCTGCTCCACGTGTCGCCAGGTGACTCACAGTGGTAAGGCAGCGTTTGTGACTCGGGTGCGTGCAGAGAGCTTTCCAGGTGTCGAGTGAAATAGCAGGAAAATTCCAGCAAAGGATTCGGTATTTGTAAGTGGGAGCAAAAGGACATTTCTTGTCTGTGCTTGGCTTGAGTATTATGCTGCGCAGTTTAAAATACAGCAGACAGATCTCTTGTAACGGAAACTGTTAGCTGATGGTAGAAATGCCTAACTCCAAAAAGAGTAGCGGTTCCTGAAAGCTCATCTGTAGCTTTTTGGAAGGCCTGCTGATCGTCATCTTCTGAACCAGCTGGAAGACATTGCAACATGTGGGAAAGCACCCATCGCTTGTGTGGCTGCTCTCGCTCGTTCTAGAACTAGAGACCCTGGTGGGGGGAGTTTGGTCCCTTTTCCTTCATGTGTGGATTCAAGCCCTTTGTGTGTCATTTAACTCATTAGAGCTTGACTCCCTTTTTCCTTATAAGGCCATCCTGTTTGCTCACTTCCTGCTTTAGCTCCTGACTTTTCTCTTCTGCCCCCTCCTTCCTTTCCTATCCTGGATGCTTTCTCCATGTGGCACAGTTGTAACTATTCACAGCTGTCTGAAAAAGCAGAGAGCTGAGCTCAGGACCGAGCCTTTAACTTCCTTTCGCACAGAAAGGAAGTGCTTTAGTGCTTCATCAGGCATATAACTGGAATTAACTTCTTGTTCTTTGCAGAGCACAGAGAATCTTCCCCCTCATTTTAAAAGGGGGAGTCTGAGTGTCCTGAAGAAGAAGTGGGAGAATCCGGAGCTGGGAACTGAGTCTCGGAAGGAAACGCTACGAAGCAGCTGCGCTGAGGTTAGGCACAAGGTCGCCAGCCCCGGAGCGGGAGTTGGGAGCAGCCCCGCTTCTCCCCAAGCCACGGAGCAAGCCCTGGGCTCTGCTGCTCCGTCCGACCCCCCGGGCACCCCTGGCCAGCTGCAGTGTCCCGCTGGTGACAGCCGAAAGCTGGGAAGCCACTTGCCCCAGAGTGGTAAAATGGAAAACTGTCTGAGAGAGCCCAGGGAAGTGGAAAAGCTTGAAGCCAGTGAAAGCACAGACTCTGCAGGGAAGATCGAGAAATACAACGTTCCGCTGAACAAGCTCAAGATGATGTTTGAGAAGGGTGAAGCCGCTCAGACCAAGGTAAGGATCTGTCCCTGCAAATCTGAAGAGAAATTAACACTCTGCTGCCTCTTGGGCATCAGGAAAGGTCCCTGGAGGGAGTGGCTCCGAGCTATTGACTCTGCAAAGAATCGCGTTCATTGTTTTAGCTGGAACGTAGCTGGTCTTAATAACTTATCTGAGCTGGACAAATACATGCAGAGTGCTTGGAGTTGCGGCTACTTGTGTTGCATGTTGGGGATGTGAATTTGCTTGTGAAAGGGGTACAACTTAAGGGAGAAAAATAAATACAGAAAGTTAAGATTTTTTGTAAGTAAGTTGGGATTGTTTATATCTTGTCTGAAGATTTAAGATGAGTTGTGTAAACATGAATTGTGTAAAAAAAAAAAATAATTTAAAAAATATGTATATACAAAAGGAAAAGTAACTGTTTGAAGAGAGCTCAACAATCTCAGGCAGCTGCAGTTGAGATGGAAGTGCTGCCAGAGTTGGGAGGGGTTTTTACATATCAGTATGTGAGTCACACATATGCACATACAGATGTACGTTCTGCAGAATACTCCCATCTTTTCCTTGCTGTTCTCTCCTCTCTGTATCTTAACAAATGTTTGTTATCGGGGAAAAAAAAAATCCTCGGGGGGCAAAAAAAAGCAGAGATAGCCAGACAAGCTCCTGCCTTCGCTAGTTTTGACTTGCAAATGCACAGGGCTTGCATTTTTCCTACAACTGCTCATGAAATCTGATCCTGCATGTGGACTGCAGACTGTGTGTCCCCAGGGAGAATTGCTTAACTAGAAAATGAGTTGCATATGCTAGTGACTTGCAACATAGTCCTGAGGCCTTGATGCTGGTGGATTTTCCAGTTTTCTCATAGTTTCCTATACTTCTGGCTTTGTTTTACTGCAGGTGGTTTTCTTGCAGGATTGAGTAAAAGAAATTTTGTACAAAAGTTGTTTAAAGATGCAATAATTAAGGGCCTTGGAGGAGCATCCCTGCGTTAAAGTGGGATTTGGGTCTGCATGGAGTCAGCTCACAGCCTAGATTTTTGTAGTTTTTGTCATTATGTAAGAGCTGTCCGTACTACCCCGTCGGGTGATCTCCTGACAGCACTTCTCTGGCTGTAGGATTAATCAGTCAGGATACCACAGGAAAGTACTGTTTTGCAGATGGACTTCAAGTAACTTTATCTTACCCTGGGGAATAAATTGTTTTGGAACTGACTGGATCTGGAACTGGTGTTTCTGTTGAGCTTAGTAATTCAAACATTGTTGAAAGCCGACTGAAGGCAGTAAATACCAAACAGCAGGTATGAAACCCTTCAGGGTAGGTTCCAAATATCTTCCTAGTTCAAATTCATCTGGTTATTTTTTTAATTTTAGAAGGGAAAAGTCACAAAGTGCTCTAAAGTTTAAGCATATGGAGGGAGGGGGCACCTTTCTGATTAGAAAGCGCTATTGTAAGATTTCTGGTTCTGGGAATTTATCTGAGGGCTGGAGGATGATATTGTGCAGTCACGTACCATGAAGACAGGGCTGTGGGGACCCGGACCTTTTTTTGCTAAGGTAGGAAGCAGCTACAGCAATGGTGTGAGTTTGGCTGACTGCAAGGTCTGCAATTGCCTCTTCCGGTTACGCGTTTCCTGAATTCAGCCCATTGATAAACCCCTGGTTTACGTGCAAGGAAAGCTTCAGAGAATTGTTTCCGTTGGAAAAGACCTTTAGGACCATCCGAGTCCAGCTTTAAATTCAGCTGAGAGGTGGCAATTTTGCTCAGTATTTACTTAAATCTCAATGCAGAAGTGCTGTCAGAGCTTTGCTGACAAGACATATGTATAAACTAAGTAGCAACGTGGCTGTAACTTCATTGCAGGAAAGATAAAACAACTTGCATTGTTGCTGGGTGAGCCTGTGGCAAGAATTCAGGTGAGAGCCTGGATTTCCTGACTCCATCAATCACTCTGAAAAAACCTATTCTCATTTTCAGGGTTACAAGCAAAGCTTCCTAACTTATTCATTCAGTTCTTGCTGTGCCTTCTGCAATTTAGATCCAAGGCACGCTTTTTTCTTACTGCATTTTCATGGAAAAAATGCTCTAAGCATGTTAGAGGCAGGCACGTCAGTCTAAGCAAACAGTGAACGTCAAGTCTTTTATCAATTTCAAAGAATTCTTCCTGTAAGACGTAGCAAAAGCTTACACAAGGAAGATCAGAAGAAAGAGCAAGGAGATCTGCAGTACTTCTTAAAAAGTTGCCTCCAAATTGGTTTGTGTTTTTCTTTTAGGGCGAAAACTTACCATCTTGTGTAGCTAACCTCACCTCGTGTGCAGGGTCACACCTGACACAGTTAGTAGATAGTGAAATAGGTGTAACTTTTATTTGGTCCTTAGCTCAACAGCTCTCCGTGCCCAAGGCGAAATGCCGTTAACTCTGTACATGGTACCTCTGCACTCACCTCTGTTGCCTTAGAACCTTGGGGCTTTCCAGCCATGAGGGGTATTTGAGCTCGTTTTGCAAGCAGCAGGGGCTGTGCTGTGGCAATTGTGGCCCAGCAGGGAACTGAGTGACCTGTGTAAGGCTGGGAGTCAGGGATTCCTTCGTGCCAAAGGTGTTGCCTTCCATGAGTTATAATCACCCTAATTACTTGTGGTTGGTCGGCCTAATGGTTGTAATGAGGAAAGTCCCTCATCTTCCCTTTGTTATGACGGTGAAAATTAATGGAAGTGAGATTCTTCCAGGCACAACATGCTTGCATACAAGGTCCTTTAATGATCTTCTTTGTATACTAGTCAAAAGCTAGACCCTCTAAACAACAAAGTTCTGATTTGTAAGAACTCAAGGTGACAGTAAAGCGGACACAGGCTGAATAAGAATCATTTAAGGACAGTTTGCACAGGATGAGGAATCTGCAAGTCCTTACAAGTGTGCAGACACTCCCAAACTGAACCTATCAACACACTTGATAGAAGGAAAAGACTTGTCGTAGCTAAGCTCTTTTCCAGTAAGAAAAGCTACCAAAGTCTTAAACCACAGAAACAGAAAATATTTCCCATGCTAACGGAAAAAGAGGTTTTCCAGCTGCATTTTCCTTTCCTGGTAAAGTTGCTATTTTGTATGCCAAAGCAGTCTGATTTTTCACAGTGCTGTTCTGTTAAAATAAAACTTTGGAATTTCCTTCAGTTTGGTGACCAGCAAATAAGAAACTCGCTCAAGTTGGGGAGCAGAAGACGAAATGTGCGGTTGGAGCATCTTGCCAAAACTGCCTTTTTACCTACATTAGCCTCAGCCTTAACTTCCAACTGGCTCTGTGACAGAACTCTTCCTAGGGAGAGAACAAAGATCTATCACCTTCTAGTATTTTATAGGTTGACTTTCAGCTGTGAAAACAACCCATCTTGATGATGTCCAATTAAACTGCACTTCATGAGCATTTATCAGAGCTGCTGAAATTTCTTTTCATGATGTTTTTTGCTGAGCGTTAGATTTTACAGAGTTGGTCTCAACAAATGCTCATCAAATCTGATTGAGCCAGCCAGAGCATCTGTGCGGTAGTGCTACAAAACACCCTGTCCAGTGCTGTAGCCTTGCAGATACGTATTATCCTGGATATCTGAGAATATTTCTCCCTAGCACTCTCCTGCTTAAGCTTCAGCTTCAGCCTTATCAGACTTAATTAGGGAATTATTTGCTACCAAATGCATGAGCTGTCCAAATCAAAACAAGCAACTTCAGTTAACTTTTTTTAGAATAGTATTTATTCTTCTTTCTGGTGCTGAATCAATGCAAATTTTTGTTAGCTCACTCCTTTCACCCTTTTCCTGATTTAAAATGACCTTGAATGTTAGCTTCCAAAGAAATTGTATGAAATGCAAAGGTAGCGAGTCAAAGGGCATCTCCTGACCTCTTCAAGAAGTGTTTCCCAGGTGACAGAGGGTCAGGTATTCTGTGATCAAACTTTATATTGGTTAAATAAGATGTCACCTGCTAGACTTGTTTATTCCCGTAAAGCAGATTTGCTAGTGACACCTGTGCATCTTAAAGGATTATACGCAACAGTCTTTGTTTGTGCCGGCAGCTGATAGGTGGGTCTTGTCTCCAATAGGTCCCCCGAGAGCAGAGGAGGACAGCAGTCGGGAGGAGGATTTCTGAGAACAGCCTCTCTTCGGAGGACTTCGATGTTGGCCAGGGAGAGAAGAGCCACAGTACATCAGGTCAGTACACCTCAGGGCTGTGGTTTGATTTGGTTTTTTTGGTTTAGCTTATGTAAAGTAGTTTTATTTCATAATACAATACAAAGCTTCTAAACGTTTCTTTCCTCTTGAGATAAGAACAAGCGTTTCAAACGATCCTGTGAGACTAAACTGAACTATTTCATAACATGTTTGTTCTTGAGATCCTCGTCTGTAACATGTCGTGATAAACTATTTTAATGGAAAAGGTGGAAGAGGCAGATGAGACTTCCTTCCTCACTTCCCATGTTTTCCCCAGAAGACAACCATTCTGCTACAGGAATGCTGTCTCTTTCCATTTGGCCACTGTAGCAGCTGCTGCCATTTGACAATAACAGAAGATAATTTTCCATGTTCAAACTGTTTGCTCTCATTACTTCTGAGACTGCTGGCTGGATGCTGCACCTGGTGAATACGCTGCTTGTGAAACTGGCTGGAGTAATGATGAGACTCGGAGCAGAAACCTTTGACTGAAGAATTTCTGTGCTCTTTAGATCTGGAATTTCGGTGGTGTTGGGAGAGGTGAAGGGATCTTTCTGCAGACAGGTCTGGTGGTGTTCCTGAAAGCTATGTTTTACTCGTTCTTTTTCCAGGGCATCTTGGAGATACTAGTCCAGCACTCAGCCCTGATAAGGCAGAGACCAGGAAAAGCCTGGAGATGCCTCGCTTAACAGAAACTTCAATAAAGGATCGACTGGCAAAGTACCAGGCAGCTGTGTCCAAGCAGGGCAGCCCCTCACCCCTCATTACCACGGTAAGGCGGTTTTTGGCTTGTGCAGAAGTGAACTTTTGTCTCATGCTGAGACTGGAAGAAAGATCTTATGGAAACCAGGCTTTCTGAAGATAATGCCAGCTCTTTGTAAAAATACCTTTGTGCCCATAAGAGTAATTCCTGATGAAGAATTGCTTCTACATACTGCAGGAAGAAATAAGTATTTGCATCTTCCTAGAATAATCTTGAAAGTGTTTCAAGGAGTTAATTGCTGGCACCCTGACTGAGGTCCTTGTGAAACATAGCTGACATTCTTTTCTTTCTGCATGTCTGTAGCTTTCTGCAAGTTTGTTTTTATTAGGAAAAAAAAATCAGTTCTGTATTATACAGTAGCTGTAAGCGAAGGGAAACTGAGGCACAGTAAGTTAGAGTGATTTTCAGTGTCATACAATGCAGTCAGTTTTCTTCCCTTTTGCTTTTTACCTCTCTTTGAGTCTTCTCACCCATTATCTGAATCCAATTAGACTCTTGCAGTGAATGAACTCACACCAATTTTGCAGATATTTGATCAGGAAATGAGCAATTAATGAATCATGGTAAAGTATTGCAGCTGAAGAGATTGCAAGACTCTAAGCTTTTGTTAAAAAGTGCATAAGTACCTTTGTGGGAACTTTCTGACACTTTTGCTTAACCATGGGAACTTTTTATTGCTTAAGTGTGACTTTTATTAACCAGAGGAATAAATCTTAAGAGGATAGGCCTTTTTAATTTAGGCAACTTGCACTGGAAATAAAAGCAAAAAATGATGGTTCTAAGCTTTGGAAGCGTGCGTGCTTCCTGGGTATCTTTGTATAGAGGTGAAAATCTCTATCCAGCTGAAATGATTTCTGAATTTTGTGTGCAGTGTGGGTCTAATTCTCCAACCCTTGGGAGGAAAGGCGAGTAAACTTCACTGCGTGGATGGAAAGTAATTGCAGTCATTGCAACCAATCTGATTAACTGCTAATTGCTGATTTCTGCATCCTGTTTCTTGCCTGGATTCAGTTTGCTAGTTTGCCTTTTGCAGTGTGTGGCTCCGAGTGATAGCTGATCCACTGAACCATGTCCCAGCAGCAAGAGATTTACCATAGGTGTTTCTCCAGACCGTCTGCAAATCCCCAGTGCTGTTGGTCTGAGCGTCAGTCTGGCCTGATGCTCGGTGGATGTCCCACTTTGGCAAAATCTCTTTTGATTTTGGCCTGGCACATTGACAAGGGCAGCACATCCGATGGAACAAACAACGGGTTTCTGGGGCTGGGGTTTGCAGTACTGTGTTCCAACAGCAGCCCTAACTCTTGGATATTCTCCTTCCCTGCTGACAAAGCAACTCGGGCTCTTTTGATATGGTAGTGTGGTATTTGTACTTCCCTTCTCTTAAAATGTGTCACATCTGCGCTACAAAGGAAAGCCAGAACCTCTCTGGGGAGCAACTATTTTGAGGGCATTGTGGTGTAATTAGGCCTGGATGAAAACTGATAGACACTTTTTCAGTTGGCTAGAGTAAGGGTGGGAAGCAGTCCTTTCTGTGGCATTGCAAGCGAAACAGGAAGGGTGGGAGACGTGATGGACGGCATATTCGGAGCTCTACACGTTCAAATTCTTACGTTCAGCTACATACCTATGAGACGTTATTTGTGCAGACTTGTTCACAAAATCCAGCAAGATGCCGGTGCTGGCATTTGGCTGTTTCTCTTTCATGTTGCAGAGAAGATGCCTTGTGAAAGGCACGAGACTTGCTCCAATTATCTTGTATCCTGTGGCAATGAAAGAAACACAAGGTTTCCCTGGATTTTATTATTTATTTACTTATTTAAGTCTGAAAGATTCTTTTGTGAAAATCTGAAGTCAGTTTGTCAGGAAGAAAAAGCAAATAACAGAATTAGGTTTTTGACAAATATCGAAGCAAGGGTAGGATCTGGTTTTATGTTGAATTGTATTTTTCAGTTATGTAGTGCTTGTCTTGAAATACTTGTAATTTCAAATTAAAAGGTAATATCTCTGGGAAAAGATGATGTGAACAGTGCAGGGGAAATGAGAGTTGATCTTTAAATGGGAATCTAGAAGTAGAGAAAAGAGGTTGTTTAGAAAAACATTGGTGTTGCCTCCATAGAGTAAAATTCTCCAGCCCCATTTTTTTTCTTCATTAGAACACATGACTTACCAAGCATGTATAGATTCTTATGCCCCTTTTAATTATCACTGTTTATACTAGGAAAACATGTTTAGAAAAAGATTTTAAGAAAAACAGAAAGCAAGTACTTTCCTAGGGGAAAAGAACCTGTGAACTTTCAAGTGCTTTATTCTGTAGAATGAGATTCAAGCCAGTGACCTCGAGAATTACAAATGTGAGCAGAAGGAGAATATGCCACCAAGGCTTGAGGACTCCATCTCCTGTCAGGATGGGGAGAAGGTAAGATGTTCATGCTGCTGAAGATCAAGGACTTCACTTTAAGTAGAACTCCTTGTAGAAGCACAGCTGATATACTTATTCCACATGCCATGTACAAATTGAGTATGAGCAGCTCATACAGATTATTTACAAGCTTCAGGGTTCTGGATCTTTATTTGTTTGTTTATTGGGACTATCTGAAGTGTGAGCTAGCAAGTCTCAGTTGTAGAGAATATCTAGAGACAACTTTGAAGTTTTCTTGGAGAGCTCCCGTCTTTTCAGTCATGATGTGCCTGTAGTGTGGCAGAATCCTTCAATATCATACTTAGATATTTTCTGATGGCTTCAGTAGCTGAGTAGGGCTGAAACCTCTGGGTTTGTGTTTTGGGGTTTGTTTGTGTTTGGGTTTTTTGTGGGGTTTGTTTGTTTTTTCACTCTGCCGTAATTTTTGGTGACTGTGATAAAACCACCTAAACTTTATGCTGTTGTGTTCTCTAACTATAAAGATGATTCATAGCTATGTATTTGTTTTGTTTGTGTTTTTTTCTTTTTAAAATATAAACTGAAAAATAAACCACGCTAGAAAAAAAAAACACATGAGAAGCTTTGTGTGACGCATGTAAAAGGAGCTTGTCACTGTTTCTTTTGCTTTCAGTGGCTAAATTTTGATTAAGGTAACTGAGAATGCCAGTTTGGGTTTGTTCAGCTGTAAATTGAGACTAAATTACTCTGTGAATTAGAGATAATAAAGCATGCTCGAGCATTTGTATACTAAACTGAGGACAGCAGACGGGATAAAAGTAGCTGAATAATAATTGGGGTACTGTGTATTGCAGCCATGCTGAGCACGTGGCAGCCTAATGCCAGGAGGGCTTTCAGAGCTTTCCAGCCTTCCTTGGGCAAGGGGCCAAACTTGCTTTCAGCTGTTCCTCCCGGACAGCTGAGCAGCTTCGTGGCTAGCTTTTTGCTAAAAGGTGAGTTAATTAAAAGAGCACCTGTTAAATCTGAATGTGACCCTGTTGCTGAATGGAAGATTTGAATAAAATTGCTTGTTCAGCTGTAGCTGTGAAGTTACTCGTTGAGGTGTCCAGGTGCAATAACGAATCTGAGAAGAACATTGTTTGAGAGCCAGACTGGCCTCTTGAAATGACCTGATGAACTTTGAAAATAAACCTAATTAAAACTATTAGTAGTAAATGTCAGAAATGGGAATTCTCTGTTAGAAAAGAAACAAGAGAAACTTGCTAACATTCTCTGTCTTTTTTCACACTGAATCTGTGAACGATTTAGTAGCCAGATATGTGTGACTCTCCAACAGCCACGGAACATGCTGATGCACTTTCCAGTATACCAGTGTTGTAGCGACCTTTTCAGTAGAGCAGAGTATATGAATATATGTAACTTGCCTCCCCATTACCTCATTAATTTGCAAACTTCAGCTGCTTGCAATGGACCTGTCAATCATTAAAGTGAGTAAGAGATGATTTGCACTTAATCTTGTTACAGCACTTCAGTTTTGCAGGGTAGCTACTTACAACTATTTGATTTAATAGCAGAAGTGCTAAGTTTAATAATGAAATATTCACCTAGAGTTTTCTATAACATCTTCAATATCTGAAACTGGTTTATATCCAACTTTTCTAAAAAGTTACTTTTTAAAAAAAAATATGAATCCATTTCTGAAGGGGGATGAACAGGATGCATATATCATAGATTTGTCAAATGTTGGAGGGAGCGGTGAGGTTTCTAGTAAACGTGTACTGCTTGCTGTCAAGGGATTTCTGAGTAAGAAAACCTGGGAGTTTCATCAATGAAATCCACAAGGATTTCTGAAGATGAATAGGTAAAGGTGTATAAGCTGCAGGTTTGGGAAAACAAAAATGTGCTCTTTGCTTGTGTGAAGACTATGGCAGATGATCTGGATATTGCAAGAGCTGTAAAATTGAGGGTGTCTACCTTGTAGCAAGAACTAACTTGGGTGTCAGTCAGCTGGGCTCTGCCTTGTGCCTTACAAAACAGAAAGCAGCTTCGTGTGCACCCCAGTGTGGCCAGTCTCTCCCAGTTTAAGCGCTTACAGTGGCAAACTGCCCGTTGTGGTACTCGGGCCATGGTTATTCAGACTTCAGAAGGTCAAGAGTGCTCACTGTATAATATTCTCTTGCAGGGTTCTGTAGGGGAGAACAGCTTACCTTTCCACTCTCGTCTTCTAGAGGACGGCAATGGTAAGCACTTGTTCTCCTGCCTAGTAAATTAGCAACGTGGAATGATCATGTTTAAATACCTCGATCTAAAGGTTTAATAACAGATGTTGAAGAAAAAAAATGTGTTAAGCCCTTAGCTGGTAGGATTGCTGTTGGGTCTCATGAGCATAAGCTGTCCATGGTTTTCAAGTCACTGTAATTGCCTCTTCTTCCTCCTCTGTTCCCGTAGTTGGACAGAACTTGGAGAGCGAGACAGAAGTTCAGAAACCTGTCAGCACAAAGCAGCAGAACTTTGGTTCTAAACCAGCTGGCCAGACAGATGGATCTCTGCCAAAAGCAGTGAAGGTAAAGCAGCTATTTAGTCTCAAACATTGGTGCTGGTTAAAACCAGCCAACTTCTCTGTTTAATACTCAAAAGCTTTAATGCAACGGATGTGGTCACAAAGGGTCTGGCAGTAACTGTATCAATATCTGGTCTGTCTTCATCAGACTGTGTTCATGAGGGAACTTCAACTCAGAATGGAAAAGCATCTCAGAACTGTCTGTTTTTCTTCAAACACTGAGTTTGGGTTGCTTGGTGGGAGCTGCCTCGCTGCTGTTAGAACAGCGTGCCTCTGCGGCCGAGGCAGTTTCTCCTAGGTGTGTGGAAAAAGGGGTTTGAGCAGGGCATGGTATCAGGGCTTCAGTGTTACATTTTCTTTAGCAGCAGCTGTAAAGAATAAAGCAGATGGAGAAGTTCTTGGACAGGAATGTATTTCCTAATCTTATTAGACACACAAACAGTGCTGAACATTTTGGTCACACTGTTCTTTGTCACGTGTGCTGTCTGGAGTTAGGATGCCTATTCCCTCGGCTGCCACAGACTTCCTGGCTCGCTCCTGAGGAAACAACTGTGCTTTTGTTGTTTTCCCCATCTTTGAGAGGAACCGCACTGACCTCACAGAGACCAGCAAGATAGGGCTTCCCAGCGTTCTGGAGTATAAATGCCAGTATGCGAAATTAGAGCTGCCTGTAACGTTTTTCTAATCTCGGTCTGTTACAGCATACAAAACCTATGTGTTTGGGTCCTCTGTGCTCTCTCTTTATATTGTTAGAACCATTTTAGTGCTCTACCCTGTTACTGCTTTAGATGCTGCACTGCCAGGATAGAAACCCGGACGCTGTTTATTCATGTAAGGTTCCTATTTGTCTCTTCCAGCTTCTGTTTCCTGTTCTTGGTTCCTAACCTCTGCTCCTGCCTTCTGCTTCCCTCCTAACGCGAGTTCAACTCTCAGCTTTCTCTCAACTTCTTTGACATTTGTTGGGCCTCACCTTCCTCCTGTAGCTCCTCTCTGTAGTATGACTGGAAAGGAATTTCTTTCTCCTCACACCCCAAAACGCCTCTCCATCAGACACAGGGCTCATTGTTAGACAAGTAAGTTCCTCTTCTTAGACGGGGATGCGCGTTGCAGAGGCACACACTAGCACTGGCATGCCAGCTTGCAAAATTACACTTTTGGGGAGAGTCACATTTTGATGGGCAAGCAAATCGTGGCTGCCGTGCTCCCCGTGGCAAGCGTGAATGATGAGGTTTCTGTTTGCATGGGTAAACTTTCATTTTTAACAATTTCATTTAGTGACTCAAAATTCAGAATTCATACGCAGTTTTGGCAGCACCTAGAAATTGTGGAATTCTTTTTTCAAAAGGAATTCGGCACGTTTGTTGGCCAAGCGATCGTCAAAATCAGAAGTTTAATCTACTGTAAATTTAAGCAATGCTTTAAAAAATGAAATGCCTATTAAACTGGAATTGAATTGGCAGCAAACTTCATGGTTGTGACAAGCTGACTTTCAGCTGGCTCTGTCTTCAGCAATCTGCCCCTCGCATATTGTAACTTTCATTGCCTAACCATTGTTTTTAGTCTGTTATAAATAAATTGAGGGAATGATGTCTTCCTGCGACCTTCCTGTTTTTTCTTTAGCCATCGTAATTTTCCTTAAAGTTTTTTTTAATAAGTTTGTAGCAGGTAATTCTTTGTCAAAGAAAAGCCACAATGTCAATGTGACTATGCAGACCGATAGTGTGTATATATATATTTTTTTATTATTTTGGTAAGTCTCATACTGGCTGTAACCTACCTGAATTTTTCTTCTTCGTTTTCCTGTCAAGAAAAATTGAGGCTGCAGAAATAGATTAAACAGGTTTTTGGAAAGTGGCTCAAAGTTATAACTGAGTTCTGGTATTTTCAGTTTCTTCTTAACCGTTGCTCAACTTGTGATGCTTTGGCTGTGGAATTCACTGGGGCAAAATCTTGGCTTGCTGTCAAGCCACAGCAATCCTGTGGGCCTGCCAGAGCCTCTTCCTCACTCGCCCACCAGAACCCACTCTACCATAATTAGCACTGAGTTGCAGAAAATGAGTCGCTGCAATTTTTCTGAGAACTCTGGAAGCCATGCATGAACCCAAGCCAAGTCCCCTGGCAGATGATTCATTTTCCAGTTAACAAGCTTTTTCTTCTTCTTCCCGTAGAAATTTCAGTTGCCAATGAAGGAAACCTGCGTTGGGTGTCAGAAGACTGTGTACCCGATGGAGAGGCTCTTTGCCAACCAGCAGGTCTTTCACATGAGCTGTTTCCGCTGTTCCTATTGCAACAGTAAGCTCAGGTAAACACACTGCTCCGTTTGGCTGCCATCGAGGAAGTGTAGCTTTCCTCTCTAGCAGCTGAGTAAGACTCTGTCTGGGCTTACCTGAGCTGAAGGCAACTGTAAGCCAGCTCATGGGAGAGAAGCATAGGAGTAGCAATCTAGTTCTAGTTCTGCCAGTGGCTTTTGCACTTGAGGCAGTCTATTTTTAAACTTAATGTGACTTTCTGTGGGGAAAAAGATGATGTCCAACTCTGTAAAGAAGTCCTGACATTTGAAGAGAGGGCGATGTGAAAAAGCTCTAAGCTTTGTCTTATCTAAATATGTGGGAAGACTGAATCTCTTCAGTAGCACAACAAAAAACGCCCGCCTCAGGCACAGAATGCTAACATTTGACTTTGTATTTTGCCCAACAGTCTTGGGACGTATGCATCTCTGCGTGGAAATATTTACTGCAAGCCTCACTTTAATCAGCTTTTCAAATCTAAAGGCAATTATGATGAAGGCTTTGGACACAAGCAGCATAAGGAATTATGGGTAGGCAAAAGTGAAGGTGACGAATCCCCGGAGAAAACTGTCCATGGTGTAAATGCATCAGAAAGTCCGCAAAGCCCAGGAGTAGAGGATGCCCCAATTGCAAAAGTAGGAGTTCTGGCAGCAAGTATGGAAGCAAAAGCTTCAGCTTTGCCTGAAAGAGAAGAGAGACCAGCAGAAACAAAAAAGCTCAGGATTGCCTGGCCGCCTCCATCTGACCAAAGTATTCAAGGAAGTGCCTTAGATGAGGGTATCAAAGTACTCAAACCCAAATGGCCCCCAGAAGAAGAGATTTCCAAGCCAGATGTGCTGGAGGATGTGGATCTGGATCTCAAAAAGTTACGAAGATCTTCCTCACTGAAGGAAAGAAGTCGTCCCTTTACAGTCGCAGCCTCATTTAGAACAATATCTGTGAAAGGCCATAAAACAGAGAATTCGCCTTCTCCTCCCAAGGCAGAGAGAGACATGTTGAAAAGAAGTGAGGAACTGGAGAGAGAGATTGTTGTGGACAAAAAGCAAAAGGAGAAGAAGGTTGAGAACAGGAACATCCAGAGTGCTGAAGAGAAAAATGTAGAGGACGAACAGGAGTTGTCTGGTATCAAAACAGTAGAGCACAACTTTGTAGAAAATGGCCAGGTGAATGCAGAGACAGATGAGGAAGAGCATGCTATGGAAGAGCAGGAAATGCCAAATGAAGAATTCCTCGAACCAAATTCTCCTAAACATTCCAACTTAGCCAACGTCGTGACTGCTAAGGAATCATCTCCTAACCAGAATCGCAAATCCCAAGATGTTGGGTTTTGGGAGGGTGAAGATATGGAAGATCTATCTGTGGAAGAACAGATCAAAAGGAATCGTTACTATGAAGACGATGATGAAGAATAAACTGGCCTTTTACTAGAAAACTTGTTGCAAGGTGCTGGGCCTTTTTAAATTGGTGGTGTTAGCTTTAAGAAACAGCTGTCCTCCGTGAAAGCGATGCTATACTGCACATCGACATTAAGGGAATCCTACGGATGAATTATCTCAACTAGAAAACTACTCTGGAAGCCTGCAAAGAGACTATTTAGGTGCATGGAAACAAGTATCTGGCTGTGGGATAGCTTCAGCAGGTAATGTCTGCCCACAGCAGGAGAACAGAGCTGTTCTGTACTTCTACATCTTATCCTTTTTGAGCTTCAGTACATATTTCACTAACAATTTACAGAATTCCACTGTACTCACAACAGTGGTGTGAAACAGGCTTTCTGTAATACACTCCTTTTACCACTACAAATGCTACTGCAGTGCTTAGGGACCAATTTCAAAGGGAGTTTCTGGCCTGCTTTAAAAATGGTAACTTAATGCACTTTAATACATGTAAAGGGCACAACTGAGATTTATTTTTATTAATTATATATAAAAAAATGGTTATCTTTAGTATCCAACAACTAAAACATCTTAAACTGGGTGCAATGTGATTTTTCAAAACTGCATCTGATGAGCTGAAGACTCCCTACTCTCCCTATCTTCCTCTGTGCAACTGGAACAGTGTGCCCGTTGCTGGAACGTGTGTATTTTAGTGCTTACCCCGAAGCTGTGCTGCCTGCCAGAGCTCTCTGAGGACAAGTCAACCCTTCTGCAGTAGCCTGCAGGGCATTACTTTTGCATTTCATATGCATTTGAAGTGAGGTTTTTGTCTTTTTTTGTCTTTATTTTTACTTGGAGTTCATCATTCATCTTAAGCTGCAGATATTTTCAAGGCCTTTTGACAACTTTGAAATCTTACTTGTATCAACCTGCCATATTTTTTTTCATTATGGCTGTGAAATCATGTTGCATTGCAAAAATCTCTGAACCATCTGAACAGTGAAACTTCCTGATTGCTGGCATTGAAGCTTAGTGCATTTTTAAACTTGACTTCATGTATTTTACAAATAATGAAATCTTGAACGGTGGAAGGAGGATGCCCTTTTATATTAGCTTTTTATTTGTACTGTATTCTCATGAGAATTAGCTCTTAACTATACTTGAGATGTAAAATATTCTGCTTTCTTAACAGTCCTGCTAACTACAAAACCTTCAATAAAGTTCGGTCATTTACATTAAAATTTAAGTCTCAAGACTGGATTCGTACTCGTTTCACAGAGAGGCTGCATTTTAAAAAAGACCAAGAGTGAAATTCCCGTGGTTTTACTGGAAGCTGGAGCCCAGACAGTGATTCTTCTGGTGCCACTAGGTGACACTGTGAGTCCACTTTTTTTTTTTCTGGTTGACAGTGCACACTGTGCTCCCATCTGACAGAGCCTGAGGAGGAGGGATTAGAGCAAAAGACACAAAGACTTGCCGGTATTTTACGCCTTCTGGCTTCACGTGGTTCTCAGGCATGGAGGGATTTTCTTCCCCTCTCTCCCTGTGAGCTTCTTTGTTCTGCAGTTCTCTTCGCTTGAGCCTGACCTGGGTTTGGCTGAGCTATGCCCCGAAAAGCTGGGTCGTTTGGTTAAAAGGAAGTTGATGCCGTTCACCTTTACGGAGAGTTAGAGAAAACCTTACAGGAAAGATTTGTTACTTGGTAACGCTCACCTCTCAAGCTAAACTGCATTTTTTTCTGAATGTTTTTAAGGAATACCTTAAACCCTGCCAACCTCCTGCAGTAGTGTGCCTAGACGTTAAAGCACATCACGATTAGGAAAACCAATCCTTGGCATCTTACCATAACCTCCGCGCGGGAGAGGCCGCGCTGGCCGGCTGGCAGCTCCGGGCCCTTCCCCCT